ACGAAGCAGCAAACGGACTCCTTTTGTTCATATCAGCTTGACAATAAGGCAGTGTTCACATGGCAGAGGAAAAATATACATATTTACATTTAACAAATTGCCTCGCAATTGAGCTTACAAGTTACAATATTATTATTATTGTATTATTCTACGTATTTTAGCAAATAAGCTCCCAGTATTTCAAAATGTTGAACTCGTCTGTTAAAAGGAAATCGTGCACCAGCAACGAAACAAAAAAGTCCAAACCTTTTTTTTTTTTTTTTTTACTTTTTTTTTTTTTTAAAGGACTGCAAACCTAGATTTCAGAGCAGGCATATTTGATTGACAATAATCTACTCTCAACAAACAGTATCTGACTGGAGGATGTGCCTTGATACTGTATAATAAGACTGTATGAAGTAGAGAAAATAAGCACTCCAGTCCACTTAATACGTCTCTGCACCACTCGCACTCTATGTTTAAACACTTACATCCCCATTCGGATGATACAGGAGGTAAGATGAACAGAACGAGGGATTGAGGGAGGGATTCAGAGATCGTGATGGTTCCCATATGTGCACAGAGACACCTGATATTCCTCCTGGTGGGTGAATCAACATTCTCCGTGAGGGACATAAATGTGCACTCGGTCGGTTGAAGTTTACAGCGAAAATAGCTTAAAGAGAAGGACAGAAGGAAATGGGAGGGATTCTAATTTGTTTTTATTGGGAGAAATATTTAATGGATGTCTCGAATCATAATCGTCCAGACTGCTGACTGCCGCTTTCCGGCAAAAGTGAAAGCCGCCTGCAGTTGGGTTTGACTGATTCAGCAACCTCCTCCTCCTTCTTCTTTCTGAACGTTCTTCTTCCTCGGCTCAGCACCTTTTCCCATTTAACAGTCCGAGTGAACCACCTCCCACCTCCTAGATGCAGACACCTGTGACATCATGTCATTTCCTCCACTTCCTCTACATGTGCGTGTGAGCCAGCCACTCAAACAGGTGGACCGGATTCTTCACCCCTCCTCTGCGTATTTGGTCAAGTCGTTAGCCGTCTCTCTCAGCTTTACGTCCTTCTGTGCAAACTCCATCTGCTTGGATCCTTTGTTCGGCCGCTGAGGGAAAACGTCATATTTCGCTTTATTTTTCTATCCCGTGCCTTTTCTTCACGTTTTTCAAGTGCGTTGTGATCGCTATGCAGCATGTCTGTAAGGGGTCAGCCGTTGGGGGGGTGTTGAGTGGGATTTGAGTTTCATTTATGGCTGCAGAGGAGAGATACCGTTTGGCAGCATTTCTACACACACACACAAGGTCCAGATGTTTTGTCCTCTGGCTGCCCCGGGGTGTTGTAGTAGTAATAAGGCTGTGTTACGCTTCCTTAAGCTGGAGCGCTCTTTATTGTGTAAAAAGGTGAACTGAGGCCCAGCACGAACCCCTAATCCTCGATCGCACTTATATCTCTGGAGCCCCGAGGACGTCTTTGTCAAGCCGCACGCGCCTCGGTGTCCAGGTGAAAAGATGACGTCACGGCTGTGATCTATGAATCATGCGTAGCTGTAGGCCGGTTTATTTGCCTTTAGTCCTGGAGCTGTTTGGCTCAGGCGGCGTGCTGGAGGCCTGAGGGATGCTGTAATGGCAAAACTAAGCCTGTCTGCTCCAGACACGGTTCATAGAAAGGTGATATATTTTCAGAGTTGTTTTTTTATTGACTCCCTCAAGGAGTGATTTCTCCTTTTGTCCTCCCACTTCCCGACTTCACAGTCTGGCCTAGAGGCCGGATAACAATCTGTACGTGTTGTGAATCTTTTTTATAGTTGCAGTGACCTTTAAGCCGAGATAACGTGTACGGATGGCGATTGTTTGGCCGCTTGGTCCATCACTTTGGTAAAGGCTGAAAAGCTCATTAGCTGGTGTTTGGATTGAAATCTGCTACGGACAATTCTGGCCCTCCAGACGATGAAACACCAGCGGGCTGATATTTTGGGTTTATTAGTAAAATGTCTCGATGCAGTACAGTAACTTTTATTGCGACTTTTTGCTGGACGACCCTAAGTTAGCACCTCCACCGAGCCAGCGCGCTTGCTCCATTGAAATTCTCAACTTGGTTTTAACAAACACAGACACCCTGTCATCTGGCGTTCAGCAGTAGTCATTGCTAAATACGGCCAACGAAAAAGTGGTGACGCAGAATCCAAGCGAATTACTCTTGCATGTAAAACGATAAAGTCGTTTGGAATCTCCTGCCGGCGGCCAGGAATACGGGTCGGACGGCACGCGCAGCTCTTCTCGTTCCTAGTTTGGTCAGACTACCAACTCTGCATTGTCTTGCCCCTGGAAGGAAAACGTTCAGTGATGAACCGCTCGATGGCAATGAAATACCTTTTGTGTCTGTTTACACTGCGCTGGCTTTAGCCTTTCCACTGGCTCTACTCCTTTCTGATGTATCGCCTTTCTGGAGGTCTGAGTTTACTCTGGACTTCTCTCGTACATCTGGGTTATTTATCAAGTGACTCACTCGCCGGGACTAATCCAGGCATTTGTGAGTTAAGTTACCTGCAGCAGGCATACCGAGCGCCTGCAGGCTGAAAAGTGATCTTGGGTCCAGATTTAAGTGTTTATTTAATCCAGGACTTATAATCAGCTCCGTCAGTGCTCTGGTAGTTGCACCTCCAGAAACGTATCTGAGAGACAGGTCAGTAGAGTGTTTCTTAATCCCTCCCAGTGTGTATGGCTATTTTGGGAGCACACCGGCAGCCAGAAAACATCTGTGTTGGATACATACGGCGTCCGATGAAACGCTGGCATTGACAGAGACGTATCATCCCTGAGAGAGGTGCAGGAGTGCACATCTGAGTGTTTTCCTTTTTTAAGACGCGGGATTCCATGTCGGGCACGTCCACTCAACATATTTAACAGAGTCGAGTCCCGTCGTACTTGACAACAATAAACTCTGTTTGAACCGCCCGTGTGGGCTGAACGCACACGTTCAACTGACAGCTTTCATGATTTATAGTTTGTTCTGCTTCACTGACGAGGTTACTTGCAGCACCTGAGTCTCAGACCGGGGTTTATAATAGTGGAAAAGGCCAACATTTTAGGAAACAAAAACTTTTGACAAGTTTTTTTTATTAGTTTTTATTAGTTTTATTAGTATAGTTTAGTTTTTTTAATTTTATTATTTTTTATTATTATTTAATTTTATCTTCAATTTTGTACGGGGCATACTAAAAACTCTAAAACCCACTTATTTAAGCGCTACAACTTGATATTTTAATTTGGATGGAAAAAAAAATGTAAAAATGCTATTTGTTTTATCTAATATTTGGCTTGTTGTCACAGTGAGGGGGGGGGTTGAGGTTTGTTTGTATGTAAACATCAGCTCTCCAGCCACTAAGGATAGAGTGCAGTATGCAGTGTTCGGGAATTTTAAACTCTATTTGGTAAAAATGAGTAATGCACAAAAGTAGATAATAGTGGAATCATGGTGAGTTCAAATGTAATCTGGTAAAAATCTAGATTTGGTGAGGAATTTAAATAAATATCCAGTACTTTTGAATTATGTTTTCACAGTAATATACATAGATACTTAGAGAGGGAATTACTTTTTAACTGCCTAACACTATCTCTGATCTAAAGCAGATGTTGAAAAACTGAGTAAATTCCAAATGAAATACTGCAATATTAATTTGTTCAGCCTTCCGCCCCTACAGCGAGATTGCTGGGCGGACAGGGAAGGACATTACATCACAGGTCATTTAGCAGATGCTTTTATCCAAAGCGACTTACATTACACTTTAAACCCATGGCTTTTTCACATTTTGCCCAGGGAGCAATTAGGGGTTAGGTGTCTTGCTCAGGGACACTTCGACATGGAACATGGGGCAGCCTGGAATCAAACCACCAACCTTGTGCTTCCCAGCACACCTTCTCTAACCCCTGCGCCACAACGACCCGACATGATCTTTGAGACGCTGCATTGTCCCACGTGAAATACTAGATAGATAATGATGACAGAATTGATTCATTCTAAGGGAGTCTTCCTTTTATATTAAAATCCTGCCCTTAGCTTCCATTTTCTTCTGTCCCTGGAGCCATGTGTTGCACCCGGAGGAAGCCAACCTACGTGTGTCATTTACTGTCCTTTTTCGTATCTGAGGCGAACTGACAGGAAAGAGGAAGAACAATCTGCCTTTGAGCAATTGATTTTCAATCCCCCCCTGGCCCAAAACATGTGGGTCGAGTGACGTCGGCAGGGATGGAAAAGGAAGCGGGCTTTTAGTTGGAATCGCTATGGCCCACATGTTCGTGTCCCTCCGTGCCATCAAGCTGGATTTGATATTTCTGTGTTCATCCCTATTTGTCCCACAGATATCTATGGTTGTTGAGGCCTGTTACTCGCTTTAGTTTTTTTTTCCTGCCACGTGTCCGACGCTCCGTTCACAGGTTGTAAGTGAAAATAAGCTTCTCCTTCTATACACACCGGCACGCTCCGTTCACAGGCTGGAGTGTGGCCACAAAAATGACAACAGTCATTTGGGGAGACACGGCAGGCCGGGGGGGGGCCATAACGGCTCCTGTTCCACGTAAACCGCCGCTGATCTCTACGCTCGATGGGACGACGTGCAGTTAGGGCAGTTTACAGACCTTGTTAAATACAAATACAAAAAAAAGGTTTTCGTTGCCATGAACGCAGAGTCACAGGTTGGTAATCTAAGCTGTAGTCTGGGCAGAAGGCACCTTGTCTACTACATCAACAATAACAAGCGCTCCTTTCATGGGACAAGTCCTGTTCTGTACAACCACGGGGGGCATGGGGGGGGTTGTCAGCGGCTCCGTCTTCCCTCTCCCTGTGTGTCTTTCTCTTCCCTGCTAATCATTCACTCATCACCTCCCCCATCGTTATCTCGAGGTTACTTTTTAAGTATAGGTTTCAGCACAGGCATTGATTTCAGGAGTTGGGATCAAACGGTTAAGGAAGATGGTTTTATTTTTGAAAATGCTGCATTGTTTGTTTCCGCAGAGTGCCAAGAGCCTCCAGAACAACAAGGATTCACGCATCCTGTGGGCTAAAGACGATCTTTTACTCACCACCGGCTTCGACATGGTGAGACAATCTTTGTATGTTGCGTTGACCAGCAGTTCTTGTACACAGTACAAGTACACATGCTTCCGTTCTGGGGTTAGAACCATTACAATAAACAAAGATTATCATTGAGTCATTAACAACACACACACACGCTATGCAATATGTGGCCTTGGCAACTGAGGCACATAGAGACGGTATAAATGAGTGCAAATTACCACCACGCCGTACCGCAAAATGATGACCGTAGTTCACAAGAATTACTACTTGATAAAGTTTATTTTAGTATGAGCTCATCTGTCGACCTGACATGTTTGTGTTGACACTACTTAACTCAGCATGTGGTGTGTGTGTGTGTAGATGCGCAGTCGGGAGGCGAGGCTCTGGGACAGCAGGAAGCTGAGCTCTTCGGTCGGCTCCGCGTCACTCGGCACCTCCAACGGGTGAGTGACTGCATCGCCGCGAACCCACTAACCCCCCCGAAAGCTAACACAGCCGCGACACTGACAGCGCTGTACTCCGACGCCCCGGTTGGTGCATAAAAAATGTACATATGTTTAACGACGTACAAATGGGCCTCATCACATTGTGAAGCTGGATTTGGACCCATTTCCTGGGTCAGTGACACACACACACACACACACACACAAAAATGGCTAAATGGCTGCAAAAGGGTCACAACAGCAGTACACGCATCGAAGACATTCTTCCCCACAACCCACAGCTCTCCCAATTGCTCCAGTTATTTCTTTGCAAACGTGGCTGCGTAGGAACCGAGCAGAGCCGGAGCGTGGCCGCACTTCGGGGAGGAGAGGAGTGGAAGGATGGAGGGAGGAGGAGGAAAGAGAAGAGAGAGGGTGGGAGGAAGGCTTCCTCTGTTAGATACAACTCATGCATTTTAGTGCATCAAGTCATTCCAAACAGGAGCATACTGTGCTCAATAAATATGAATTAAATGAAGATATATATATAATTATAATAATACATATTACTACCATAAAAAGCCAGGAAGATACAGCCGTGACAGCGGCAGATTCCACGTCTGTTCTTTGGCACAGATATTCGAGTCTGTATGCGGCCATGTTTGGTTGCAGCATGGACTGGAAAGTGTGGAGACATACAATGTAAAAGTTTTTTAATGTATAGACTAAGACTGTTAGGAAAGCAGCCTCTTAGGAATGTGAATATTCTTGACTTCTCTATCTTTATCTGTGTGTGTGTGTGTGTGTGTGTGTGTGTGTGTGAGATGGACGTTGAGGAGTTGACGACCTCCACTCTCCCTCCTGCCTCTGCTCGCCACTCATCTCCATTTCCTCCACTTCCCCCTTAGTTTGAGTGAGACAGATAGTGGCCTGTCTAAGTGCATCTCGGAAATTCATCGCATTGTTTGGTGCCAGCATACTTTTCATGGAAATGGTGGATATCTGATGCCCCTGTTGCACATTTTTTCCTCCTATTACCAAAAAAAATATGCTCATTTTTGATCCGTATCTTCACCATGGTAAAAAAGTCTGGAAAAATCCCAGTGTCTGCCAAAGCCAAAGATGAGGTCGCGGTGATGGCGCAGCTTGAAGAGAATGTAACAGCAATGTGATGATTGCTGCGAAACCGTGCTGCTCATCTGATGATCAAGTGAAGTGTCCCTGATGCCCTCGTTCTCAGCTTTGGTCTGGTTGTCTTAAGTGTCTCTCAATATTTTCTTAATAGAATTCATATAAGATTCATTAGATGAAAAGCCCTTAGGCATCCTGTACAAATAATACTAGTCATTAAATGCGCTGTGGTTCTATTTTCTTGAAAATAATTGCTGGGGTGTGTGCGCCGTGTTGAATCACTCCCTTGGCGCTATCATATGCTGGTACGGTGTGTCAGAGAGCGATCGCTCCCAAGGCCACATCCCCCTCCAGAGGTCTGCAGACCAGCACTGATATTAAACAGGGAAGCAATCAAATGGCAGATGAGACCTTGTCCTTTTCTGCCATTCAGGCTCTTTTCTCTTTTCTCTTTTAAGCTACTTTTAAGCTCAAATATTTCCTTCACCCCTTCCCTCTCCTAACCCTTCTCCCGAAACCCACTCTGTGTTCTGTGGTCTGTGTTGAGCCTGGAAAATCTGGTAAGAAAATAAAAAAAGGGGGGAAAAATGAGGTCTGAGGTCATTAATAAGCGTACGCGGTCTGCGTCTGTTACCGGACGCCGTCCTTTCTGGATCAGGACCTTTTTTTGAATTATAAGGAAGCACTTCTGTTTCGACCATCACTGTTTTCCTGGTTTTTCCGGCCACGATTTAGTGGCTCTGCAAACTCAGAGGCCGATTGCACGCTTTGACAATTGTCTAACATGATGCTGCTCAGCAAATCACAGCCGTGCATTCCAACGAGCAACGCTCTAAAAATAGAAAAGTGCACGTAGCTACTACATGTTCGTTCTCCCGGTTCAAAAACCAGTTTAGTCTCATACGTTCTCTGATCGTTGCAATTATTAAGATGCAAAGTTAAGCACCACCAAGATAGGAACCCTAAATCATTTTTTGGCCAACAAGCTTGTGGTGCTAAGCTTGTGATTTCAGTCCGCCGGTAAGCTCGTCAGCGCCACCCCTCCACATGATTTTAATGGTCTGGCCCACGTTCGATTGAAGTGGGCAGTATCTGGCCCGAACCTGAAAAGCAGTTTGACACCCCTGCAATAACACATCGCTACCGCTATAACCGATTGGCTGGCCTTCGGCTGTTTAAATGTAATTGCAACATTGACCGAGGTTCCCGTCTGGGCGCCGCTGTCACAGGCAGACGTTTCCTTCTTGTCTGCTGCTTCGCACCGTAGGAAACATCCCGAATACTGTCAAGGATATACAAGTTCCTTCTATTAGGGGGATGGAGGCCAGTGTCTGGGCCCCTCACTCTAGCCACCATTTATCCAGTATCTTACTTTGCAGGGAAGTTTCATGCATGGTGCTGCCCTTGGTGCCTTATCACAGCGGGTTTTTGGTGGATCATTTTGTTTTAGTTCAGCCGAAAGGAGAGCTTGTCTCCTTCTCTCTGCACCTGATAGATTGGACCGTGGCCGCTGAGGAAGCTCAAAGTCAAACATCCAAAACGGGGCATTTCCTCCCTGTCGTTTTGGTCCTGAGGTGCACATAAAGATGGATTTGTTCTCCTCTTTTGCGGCCTCTTTTTTAATGGTAAACATGGTTTGTATTCGGAGCGGCAGGCTGGCTTGTATCAGGTTGGCCGTGTTCGTCGACTACATTCAGGAAGACTGTTTTCTTTGGAGGATCACAACGTGAGGAGGCCCGGGAGCTTAAAACAGTGAAATGAGGCTGTGGGTGCAATATCATTTGGATGCCATTTACTGGAGGGGGAATTTTTTTTTTTTGGTTTGTGTCAAAATCAAGACTGAAAAATTGAGGGGTGATTGGCTTGAGAGGGGCGTTTTTTTTAACTGTGCAGAGGTAGCTATTAGGACTTGTACCGCTCTCCTCCTCTTATACTCTTCCCCAATGAGTTTATTTGGCAAGCCGGCTGCAATTAGGGAACTTTTCAAGTTGGCACACTTGCAACAAGCTTGCACCCCGACTCTGTATTAACACAGCAAAGCCCCGATGTTCCTTTTCCATTCCGTATTTATCTTCAGCCACTTCCGATGCTCTGCTCCTCTCTCCGAGCCCAATTAATTCTCATTGTCCTCGGTGGCATGAGGCCGATCCAAACGGACCGCTGTGACCCGAAGCCTATCGGTATCCACGCCGCTGATCGGAGGGGACTTGAGCCTGTCCCCCGAGAGCCAACCCATATGTTTTTACAACACCGGTCACGGGGTCGCACAAAGAACTCTCCCTCTGAGGCAAGAATCGCTGACGGAGCGCGCTGGCAGCCGAGAGAGGAGAGGAGCTTCAGCGGTTGCGGGGCAGTGCCCAGGTGCGATGCCGGTGCTCACACCCTCGACCGACTCTCCACAGTCTATTCCTGAGTGTTTTCCTAGCCGGGTTGTGGCTGGGTGCAGGGCCCGGTCATTGGGCGTAATGGAGCCAAACCCTTTAATCAGATGGATTGAGAGGAGGCCTGTGCCCCAGAAGGGGATCTGCTTTTGACAGAACAGCCCCCCGCCCCACCCCCTCCCATTTTCTCCCATCCCGGGCCCAGGCGTTCTGAAATCAGTCCCAGATGAAGGCTTTCCTGTGGGGATTATGTGCAGCTGCAGCACTGCTAACCTAACCAGAGCAAAAAGAAGAAAAGAAAATGCCACAGAATGTTTTAACAGTCATTTGACCTTGCCGCGCTCTCACTTGAAGTTCACTCCGTAAGGTTGAACGGAGCTCCGTTGTTTGGGTCCAGCTTGGGAGGTCATGTTTAAGGTGGAGGTAAAGGCAAACTACAACCTTCAGGTGAACCTCGGGGTCGATAGTCGATAGTTCAACCCCTGCCCGCCAACCTCGCACTGGGGGGGGGGGGGGGGGGGGTTAGAGGGTAAAGATGTGGACGCACACGCTCCGTCAAAGAACCTAAACCCTGTGTTCAGACAGTTGAAACATGGTGTCTGGAGTCTGTTAGTCATTTGGGGTTTCAATTTGTGATTCAGTCGAGGGGGAGTTATAGACCAGAAAATGATGACAAAAAGGAGGGAGCTCTGATGATATATATATATATATATATATATATATATATATAGATATCATCACTTTGTGGCTTTTTTATTGAAGCACATGTGGAAACCGTCTTTTGCGCCGTAACACCTCATTGAAGTCATCTGTTCCTCTTTCATGCCCTGGTATCAACAAACTGTGCAAGTGGCCTTTTCTTCCTGTTCTCTGTTCTATCCTGTCAAAATACTTCCACTATCCTCCAGTGAATCCTTAAAAAAAAATCTAGTTACCTATTTCTCACCATTTGTCCCTTACTCCTCTGTTCCTCCATGTTCTTTGTCTCCATCCTGATCTTTGAAGGTGCTGCTATCTGGGATTCTAATTAAGTTGGTCCTCTCTTTTTTTTGAGCAAAGCCTAATGGAGCCTCTACAAGAACTGGTGAAAACACATGAAAGTATGTGGAGCGTTTGGCAGGGGATATTTAATATAATTCACAGAGGGTCTTTCATCCCGCAGGTATGTGCTTGGCACTCCGGGGATGAGAAGGACCTTTTTGTGTGAACTCGCCACAGAAGGAAAAATAGGAGCAAAATAGGAGCTTCCAAACCCCCCCCCCCTTACCCCCCACCCCTCCTTCTTTTCTTCCATTCACCTTTATTTTTCTTTTATGGTTTGGATTAGAACTTAGTGGAGACTTAACGGGGGATGATTTGTCAAGGGAAGCTGCTCAGCATTATATGGCAGCGGAGCGCGTCTAAATGCTGTTAAGGTAATTGCAGAAATGACTCAAACGTGGACGGCTTCCTGAGTCCTCGCTCTGTCTCAGAGTTCGAGACCGTGTCAGACGTCACTTTCCATCCTTC